AACTACTAGAGACGGTCGAATGGACTCCTGTCTGGAATTTCTCTTCTGCATTTTTTTTTTACAACAAACACTGGTATATGGTTTAAACTTCCCCATTGTTGTTTAACAGTGAAGCACAGACTTTGCGTGGACATGGAGTGTATCCTCTTTTTTGTACTTTTTCGATGTCTTCACAATAAGTTTCTCGATAAACTCAAATTTATCTCACATTGTTGAGGCTTCTTGCTTTAGTATATAGATGCTATGTTTGCTCATCTGAAAAAAAGCACATAATTTTTTTTCTATTTTATGAATTAAAGGAATAGTACACCCAAAACATGATTAGCCTTCGTTTTCTACTCACCCCAATGCTGCACAACACTCTGGAGTACTTTTTTGATATCTCAAATGCATCTGGAGATCTGGGAGGCTTCTTGCTGTCTGCTGACATTCAAATAATGGAGGTCTATGGTGCCCGAGACAGAAAGGTCCATAAAAGTCCACAAAAAACGTGTCAATATTCCTCCATACTGCTCGTCCAATGTATTCCAAGTGTCCTGAGTGGGTAGCGTCCATAATTTACTCGAAACGAAGTCATTTAGAATGTTTTTAGAGCATAAACAGTAGTGTATAGGATTTCCTAAAAGCGCGTTCACGAAGCTACAGAAACCGCGGCAGACCAAACCAGATGAAAGTGCGCCTTCAGCTCGGCAAAGAACTCATGCTCTTCCTCAACACTGAAGTCCTCAGACATTTTTCTTTCGTTGTTTCTTTCTTTACACAGGTAAACAGCACATTTCTTCTTCTACGCTTGCATTATCGGCAGAGCAGACGCTGAATGCGCACTTTCATCTGGTTTGGTCTGCCGCGGTTTCCGTAGGCTCGTGAATGCGCAGCCACGCGCTTTTAGGAAATCCTATACACTACTGTTTATGCTCTAAAAACATTCTAAATGACTTCGTTTCGAGTAAATTATGGACGCTATCCACTCAGGACACTTGGAATACATTGGACGAGCAGTATGGAGGAATATTGACACGTTTCTTGTGGACTTTTATGGACCTTTCTGCCTCGGGCACCATAGACCTCCATTATTTGAATGTCAGCAGACAGCAAGAAGCCTCCCAGATCTCCAGATGCATTTGAGATATCAAAAAAGTACTCCAGAGTGTTGTTCAGCATGGGGGTGAGTAGAAAATGAAGGCTAATCATGTTTTGAGTGTACTATTCCTTTAAATACAAATTCTAGCACAGTTTTATATCCATAAAAGCATGTTTCTTGGTAAAAAAAAAAAAAATTATAATAATAATAATAAAAAAATAAAAAACCCTGTTTCAACTCTTCTTACTCAAACTATTACATTATGCAGAGACCATACAGATTTCCTCCTCTGAAAGCCTTGAAATTCTTTGTTTTGACTGAATCTCTTTTTAATTGCACGTATTTTCCCAATTTAAAGCTACAGTGTGTAATAATTACAGGGATATACAGTCAGAAATGTAATATATTATACATAACTATGTTATTTATCATCATCTATGAGCTCAGCCTCTTAACCTTAATATTTGCGTTGCCTTAGAATTCGTTATTTATAATGACATAGGAGCGGGTCTCGCAGCCATGGAGGCAGACATCTTTGCGCTACGGCAGCGCAGAGCCAACAAACTAGCGATTGCGAGATCTCCCATTACGCTCGAAAGTAACTACGGCAAGTTGAGAGAGATGACCTGAGATGGTACTGAACACACAGACTAATGAAATACTATCTGTAAAATTATCTATGTAAACAAACCTCACCACTTGAGAAGGTAGGCGATGCGGACGTCGTGGAAGACATTTTGTCCCGTAACGCTCGCCGTACTGTTGGGGGGGGGGGGGGGGGGGGAGAAGCGGTGGGGGGGAGATGTTCATGTTGCTGCGGTCTGCAGTGTGGACGTTAGATGTTGCTAAAAATTACACACTGTAGCTTTAATGCAATTTAGTAGATGGTTTTTATTTCTTTTACTCTTGCATTATGTTTTTGTACACTTTTTCATATAAATATGAATGACTTGTGTGACATTCCCATCGTTTGCTTTACTTGGGGTCAGATTTGTTTTTATTATTAAAAACTGTTTAAAAGTTAATGTTCAAGGTTGCCAAATCATTTCTTTATTTTTTTTTTATTTTACTATAACCTGAGGTTTTATGGCTCTTTTATTTTGTGAGCAGGAGGTTCTCTCATTAAACTTGTGTATAAACTAATATTGGAAAAGTTGAATTCAATCTGTTAGCCTTTAATAAAACAGCAGCACTGTCTGCAGGTTCCCCCCTCCAACACCCCGCCCCTCTCAGACAGCCTCCACGTCACGCATTTATCAAACGGAAACCGTTTGAATGAGGGATTTGACACGTTGGGGGGGGGAAGCGCGTAAAGCCCGCCTAGAGATCCTTTAGAATCCTAAATAGCTCAATTTGTCTTAATTTTACAGCTACTTTTCAAGTCAGCTACAATTACGCCTGGTATGAACGGTCTAATGGCGGCAACACGAGCTAACGGCTCGACCTGCAGCTGAGTTTTTTTTTTTTTTTTCCTCGTGCGCATGCGAAATGGTGTTGGTGCGTTTATAGGTAATCGGACACATTTATCTCCAGTGTTTTCAATGGGTGTAATCAAATATATATCATTTTATTTGAGAGAAAAAGGCTCACTACATCTATTTTAAATTGGCGTTTTAAAATATCAGTATAAATAAGTGTTGTTTACCAAGACCTGCTCAAATTTCATTCACTGGTTAAAATTTTTTTTTTTAATATCATGTTTATTTAAGTCTAAAAATGCTTCCAACCTGCCCTCTTTTTGAAAACAGATTTATTTTAAGTTAACCCCCTGATTATGGTATTTTATAAAGGCTAACTCATATCCCCTCAAGTATTTTGTTCTGGTTTTTTTTTTTTGCATTCCTTTTAAAATTCTATAATAAATGTATATTTTTGTATTACCTGTTTTGTTGTGATAAGTTTGTGTAAAGAAAGAAAAAAATTTAATACATATATTTATGAGAATTAACATACATCTTGACACTTTTTCTCAGTGTGTAATTTTGATGAAAACTAACTATTGATTTGGACATAGCTTCTATATGCCCTCAATCTAAAGGTTAAGATAATATTTGGACATCTGTAATACAAAGGTTATGTCAATGATTTACCCATTCTCATGAAAAATGGTTTAATTCTCTTTAGTCATTTTGCAAATCTATGATAAATGTTTGGAAGTGAAACAGTAAAAGGCCATTAGAATATAAAGAAAAGTAAGAAGAAAATAAAGTAGGCTTTTCTTAATTACATATAATGTTGAAAGATGAGTATAAACATATATTTTCTTTATTCATTCCAAGTTAAATCTGTTTTGCTTTCACATGTAGGACCATTTGATTAGGTAAATTAAATCAGTTTTCTTTGGTCTAGTTCTTTTTAATGAATTTAGTTTCCAAACAATATTTTGAATTTAAATTTCCATTTTTAACTCAAATGCACTTGTTCAACTTGTAAAGGTAAAACATTAGTTTTGATCTTCAGACTCAGCTCCTTTGGATGTTTTGTATCAAATAATGCAGAGCAGGTCAAATAGCTTCAAATGCCTTATTAAGTTCCTTGTTCGATCATTGTGTAAAGTATGGAAGAGGATTAGGGCCACTGAAAAAATAAAAAAGTTAACTGATTTTTAAATATTATTTCAGTTTGATATGGGGAAAAAAGTCAGAATCTGTCAGAGTCTGACTTTAATCTCTGAAATCTGACTTTTTTTCCCTCAAAATTCTGACTGAATTCTAACTGCTAATAAACATGTTAGCATCAAGCTGTAGCTATGTCTTTTTTAGAGATTAGCTCTCTTGTTTTGATGACCATCTACACCTCCATTAATGAAATAGCATCAACGGGGACCCCTTGGGCACGTAAAAAGTTGTCTAATTTTGTCATTTTCCACCAATGTGTTACTGGTCCTCCCAAACAACTCACATCTTTGTCAGTGTAGCTGAGTGCTCCCACAGATCCAAAATTCGGAGATTAAAGTCAGAATTCTTAGAAAAAAAGTCAGAATTCTGATAGAAAAAAGTCAGAATTCTGTGATTAAAGTCAGAATTCTGAGAGAAAAGTCAGAATTCTGAGATAAAGTAAGAATTCTGAGAAAAAAAGTGAGAATTATGAGATTAAAGTCAGAATTCTGAGATTAAAGTAGGAAATTTGAGAAAAAAAGTCAGAATTCTGAGATTAAAGTCCGAATTCTTAGAAAAAAGTCAGAATTCTTAGATTAAAATAGGAATTCTGAGAAAAAGTCAGAATTCTGAGATTAAAGTCAGAGTTCTTAGAGAAAATTCAGAATTCTGATTAAAAAAGTCAGAATTCTGATAATAAAGTCAGAATTCTGAGAAAGTCAGAATTCTTAGATTAAAGTAGGAATTCTGAGATTAAAGTCAGAGTTCTTAGAGAAAATTCAGAATTCTGATTAAAAAAGTCAGAATTCTGATAATAAAGTCAGAATTCTGAGAAAGTCAGAATTCTTAGATTAAAGTAGGAATTCTGAGATTAAAGTCAGAATTCTAAGATTAAAGTCAGATTTTTTAGAAAAAAGTGAGAATTCTGAGATTAAAGTCAGAATTTTAGAAAAAGTCAGAATTCTGATAAAAAAAGTCAGAATTCTGAGATTAAAGTCAGAATTCTTAGATTAAAGTAGGAATTCTGAGAAAAAAGACAAAATTCTGAGATTAAAGTCAGAATTCTGAGATGAAAGTCAGAATTCTGAAAAAAGTCAGAATTCTGAGGAAAAAGGTCAGAATTCAGACTTTTTTCTGTTAACTTTTTTGTTTTTTCAGTGGGCCTAATCCTCTTCCGTAGTAAAGTTCTCTAGAAATAATAATAAAAAAAGAATTTCAACACATTTCTGTCATTTCTGAACAATCTCAGATGTCAGAGCTGTACTCGTGTCCCTGAACTCATCACTCGGCTGTGTGTGTGAATGCGCGTTGCAGAGGAAGTGGCGGCGGATCTGGGTCCGCACCTTTTCCGGTAACACAGCCCCGCCACCGCTGTGCCTGACTGAACGGCTGGGAGACACAGGGGAGGAAGACACACTGAGAGCGGCAAGAGTGGGGGAGAAACGGCCTGGGGGACTGGGGAATGGTCGCCGCGGATGCAGGTATTTATCCCGCACTCACTGTATGTTGTTTTCCGCTGAGCTTTCAGGCTTCAGCAGTTAGCGCTTTTTTTTTTTTTTTTGTCGGATTCAAAGTTGTCCTCTGTACTAACACCCCTCCCTTCTCCGGACCGCTCCTATGTCACAGGGGGAAGAGAAGAAAGTCGGATGAATCAATGACCTTTTGAGCTCTCCTCCTGTGGAAACTCACCGTGAAGGCTCTGAATTGTCGCCGCCTGTTAGCGCAGATTAACCGGCGAGCTTTCGAAATAAGCTAAGTGTGGACAGCCGGCGGCCAAGAAGGAAGTGGGATCCCCCGGCCTGGCCTGGGCCTGCTCTATATTGTCCTCCTCTGGCTCAAAGAACTACTTAAAGCACTATCTGGGAGGAAAAAGGAGCTGGTAAAGCAAAGCCAGCCCTTATTTTGTGGGCTTTTCTAGGAAGTGTGTGATCTAAGCCGACTTTGAGAGAAGGGAATGTCATTTTTTCTTCTTACATTGGAGGAGAGTGGATCATTAAAATATATCCCCACCCGATTCGACAAAAACTCTCCATGATCAGTTCTCTGGGATCACTCAAATCTAAATACCTCAAATCTAGCTTTACTTTTGAGATTTTTGACACTTGCCTCAACACGTGTGTAGCTTTCAGATTGAAACTGACTTCTCTGTTGGCGTAAAAACAAACTTCTCTCTGGTTAGTTTTTCTTTTTTCGCCTAAGAGACTATTTATGCACAGGAAACAAGATGGGGAAGATGCTGTCAAAGATTTTTGGCAACAAGGAGATGAGAATATTGATGCTTGGACTTGACGCTGCTGGGAAAACCACCATCCTGTACAAGCTGAAACTAGGACAGTCGGTCACCACCATCCCGACGGTGGGCTTCAATGTGGAGACCGTCACCTATAAGAACGTGAAGTTCAACGTGTGGGACGTGGGCGGCCAGGACAAGATCCGGCCGCTCTGGAGACATTACTACACAGGAACGCAGGGCCTCATTTTTGTGGTGGATTGCGCCGACAGGGACCGCATCGACGAGGCCAGGCAGGAGCTCCACAGGATCATCAACGACCGGGAGATGAGGGACGCCATCATCCTGATCTTCGCCAACAAGCAGGACCTCCCGGACGCCATGAAGCCCCACGAGATCCAGGAGAAGCTGGGCCTGACCCGGATCCGGGATAGGAATTGGTACGTTCAGCCCTCGTGCGCGACGACAGGGGATGGACTATACGAGGGCCTGACCTGGCTTACCTCTAATTACAAATCCTAATGTTTCCTCCACCCACCAGCCTGGACATTTGGAGACACAAAACGTAGCTGAGATGAGGAAAGAGAATTAAAAAAAAAAAATTTAAAAAAGGATGCAATCTGAGGCAAACGATTCAATTATCTCTTTGCTTAATCTGTATTAGAGGGAGTCGCAAATGTTTGTTTTTTTCTGAATAATTACTTCACTTTAATCCCAAATTTTCAGTTAAGCAAAGAAGTATTTTTGTTTTATTTTTCTTTAGTTTTCTTTAGTTCTCAATCTGTGTAATCAGCACTGTTAATCCATACATCTTACTTTTATGCTTTTACTGCATTTGCTTTTGTTTTCGCCTTTGTTGTATCATTTCTTTTAGGGGCCCCAACCTGATTGGCATGGCCCCCAAACTTAGTTCTGGTTCTGCACTCTCAACACCCAGCTACATATCCAAAGGATGGACAGGGGGGGAGTCTAGAAATAATTTCCCTAAATCAGCATATCAATATAAAGGAAAGAAAAAAAAATGCCTCTGTTATATGTAAGAATGTGTACTCTGGATGTGTTGGGACCTTAAAATCAGACTGATTGTAGTGGGATGATTGAATGGGAAGTTCCTCCCTCCTGTGCAGTGATTTCATGGATCTTCACACACTGTGACCTGGATATAAATGGTTGTTTCAGGGTTTAAGTGGTTGTTAACGGCGGTTTAATCATTTTCACTCTTGTTTCTCTCAGAGCTTCCATTAAGTGTTTTGTAGTTTCAGCTGCCTTAGGACGGACCAGGGTTCCAGGTGCCCCCCCCCCATCCCCCAGAAACTGAGACAGCCGCTGAGTTTGCACTTTGATTGGGAGAAGGAGGGGCGGTGAGCAATTTGCTGGTTGGGGCATATTTTTTCATTTTCTTGAACCGACTTTTGGACTCCAGCAAGGTTTACGAATTTCCTAACCCCCCCCCCCCCACCACCACCACCTCCAAAACAGGTGCTTCTTTACTTTTTTTTTCTAAATAAACATCACCAGCCCATTTAAAACCCTGCAGTTAATTATTTTCATAGTTTCAAAACCATATTGCTGTTTAACCTCCCCCCCTTTTTTTTCTCTTATGCTATGCTGTTGAAATAATAAAAGAAATATATATCCAGATCATTATGGAAGTGGTGCCTTTTCAATGACCGGTTGGTACTATTGCATTATTATTTTATTTTTTTTAATTGAAAAGCAATATTTCCCTTTTGAAACAGGTTGAGCTCATAAAAGAGGAAATGAGAGTTTAGGGCGTTATGATAGTTGAACGAAGGACAAACTGAAGAGAAGTGAGCCTCTGCTTGTTTCCTTTCTGCTCCTGTGAGTCATTTGCTGAATAAATGATGAGAGCTCTAGTTTCCGAGTAGTGATTGTGAGGTGCCGCGCTCCGCCAAAGGTCTCTGTCCGCCATGCAGAAGGTCTCATGTTTAAACCCTCAAATCTTAACCACAGGCTTTTCCTGAAGAGCGGATCTCATTAGAAATTAACCATTATCAAGATTAAGGTGTTTCTGTTTTGTTGAAATAATGTTGGTTCATCACCGGCCTGCTGCTTAGTAAGTAACCCTGAAGCACTGATGTGAGGTCAGGCTACTATTTCAAAGCCACCCATTCTTTGTTTCCCTCTCTGCTTACTGGATATCACTGCTTGGAGGTTCGCCATGCCATTCTTATAAGGAATAAAGTTGCTTGTGAAAACTATCTATGGAGGAGGCTGGGAAATTATAAAAAAAAAAAAAAATGAGTTGGCATAGAGATCAGTAGTTTAGTGTAAAACAGTACAAAAAACTTGCAAAATGCACTGCTGAGATCCTATAAAGTTTTTTTTTTTTTTTTTGGTGTAGCAAAAAGAAAAAAAAAAACTTTCCAGAGATTGAAAAGTCAAGGAATTCCTGTTTGGGAACGCTTACTTTTTGCTCTGTTTGCTTTTGTTGTGTTTGCTCTGCAGCTGTGGATGTGAAGTTTGACCTGCCACAGAGTTGAAAGCAGCCCTCCGCATGTGTCCGGCTAGAAGGACGGAGCTGTTCAGCTGAGATAGTTACACAAATGTGACAGCCCGTTATCTCTCCTGAAACTGCCGCTGCTTCTCCACTTTTTTTTTTTTTTATTAGGGCACAATCGTTTCCTCTGTGCTGGGAGTAGCTAAGGGCTAAAAGTCCTTATTTGTTACTGATTTTTCATTCACAAATTCATTGATGCTGGATGTGGAAATTTTGACCTAAAAAAATGTGTCAGAAGGGGAACCCAGGAGAGGAAATGTGTAGAGGGAGAGGAGTTTGAATCGGTTACATCAGCACTGAGCGGGTGAATCATGCTGCATGTGTCACAGGGCTTTTGTACAGCTGTCAGTGCTGCATTCGAAGGCACATGCTCTGCACACTAGCTAGTGTCAGAGCCTGTCAGGCTCACCTGTGGCCCCAACATGGTTTAAAATTCACTATTGTCATAACCTGGAGTCCTTTTCTACTTTTTTTTTTTTTTTTTCCATCCTACCCAGAGCTGCATTGTATGCTGCAGGGTGGGGGGTTGGCTGCACTATTGTACGCCTATAGCTTGGCTGACTTCAAACAATGCTCAAAAACCAAGCTCATTGGTAGTTCCTCTGTCAACTTTTTACTGCGGCGTTCCTCTTTGATTTTAACATCCTTCATTTAGCTACGCAGAAAACCGCTAATTAAACAATACGACTCAAAAAATTGATGTTAAAAGGGCGGTAAAGCTAATTATGCAAATAATAAAAAATGTTTTTGATAATTCATTTGATTGCTAGTGATTTGTTGAACGGAGGATATGGAAGACGAAATCGAACTGTTATCAGCGGGCTTCTTTTCTCACACCTCAGACATTTGCTGTCTAGATCCTCCCACAGCTGTTTCCATAGAGCTGCAGAGTTTACACATGGCATGCTCCAAGTCAGAGGCCAAAGTAAAAGCATTTAAAGCTTCACTCCTGAGCTTGCGCTGCTGCCTGTAAAATTCCATAATCTTGTATTCTGGCAATGCTTTAGCCGTTATGAGATTATCACATCATAATTGAGTGAAAATGCTGATTTCACTGCTTTATAAGAAAATAATATTTCCCTGCTTTGATTTTAAGCAAAATAGAAGTAATGTTATCTCTTCAATATACAGTTAATTATTTTGAAAAGAATGAAGCAAAGTATTAAGAAGATTCACCAGCTATAATTTAGTAATAGTCTTTAAGTTATTGTGCAACCTAATCTTCCTTTCTTAACACTCTGGACTTTGCTTGATAGTAATTGGTCCGCGGGCAACAATAGAAACAAGTTAATGGTTGTTTTCTGTTTTCTTAACAGGGTTGCTTAAGACTGATGTGATTTTCTCGTCTCCACGCCATAGGTGGCTGGGCTTTCTGCGACTGCAAACGTCTTGAAGATGCAGAATTGTTGTTTCTTAAATGTTTAGAGACAGAGAAGCCTCTTTTCAGCCAGCTATGTGGCAGTGTGCAGCAACAGATAGAGGAGAAGGGAGTGCTATTGCCGCAGAGCTTGGAAAAAGGACTCTGGTCACGGAAAGCAGCTAAAACACTAGTCATTATACTGCACATTTAAAGCAAAAGGGTTAAGTTTGTAAAGTCAACGATTTTTTGTTTTTCATCATTTATTAAAAAGTAAATAAGAGAGAGTAAATACAGTGGGGGTAATGAAAGCATTGCGCTTCAGCAAGCTGCTTGGCAAAAGGCAATGCTGTCAAATATTGATATAGCAGGGATATTATTTAATGAAACTTCCATACAGCAGACCAGGGACCAATTTCTCTGACCTAAAACTTCACATATTTTAGCACAATATACATTTATTAAACAAGAAGCCAAAAAAGCTGTTTTTAAAGAAAGAAATGTCAGGTTTTTTTAAATAATGGATGGTTTAAATTCTTCTTATGGGGGCCGTCATGACATGGTGAAACCTAGTTTCAGGTTTGAAATGAGCTCTACATGCAGGGAAGCTACTTTTTGCCTTTGAAGCTTTATGGGCACAGGAGGACGATGACGGTGGATCCATGGATGTGCTACAAGGTTGAAACACATTTATCTGTAGCGACTTTGTTAGCCTATAGGATGGGATGCCAGCATGACTGCAATGCAGTCCACATTATACATGTGGGAAAATGGCAAAGTCCAGAGTGCTTTTTTATTATTTCATTCTTAAAATCAAGTTAACACACTCTTATGCTTTTAACTGATGTTAGCTTCAAAACCATTTTCATTTGCCCTTAAGGAACAAGATACACATTTATTGAAACAGCTAAATGTGTCCCATAAAGGAAATGCAAATATAAACTCCAAGTGAAGCAGTTTTTGACTGAAGTGTTATAGTTTCTTAACGGATTTAACCTGCATATGATCAGTACTAAGTTAGACCTCTAGTTGGAAGAAAATATCTGTTACTGAAGAAAAAAAATGCTGTTGCAATGTTTAATTTTCCTGCACATAGCGATAGTTTACATTCCTTTCAACAGGGAATTTATTAACTTTAATGTAGTGTCTGAAAGGAAGTTACATGACTCTTGATTAGTATCAGTGATTTAAAAAAATCTCAATTCTGATTCATCTTCACCTCTGCAGAGCAAGCTGCTGTTCATCAGCCAAATAATTGCTGTGTGAAACCATAAACAGTTCCTCTCTTTACATCCTGATGCTTATATTTCTGGGTCTTTCGGCTATGAAACCAATCCTCTTTCACTGGTTACAGGGCCAATAAAATTACTCTACTCTGGCATTATTGTTCTGTCCTGCAGATTTAGAATAAAAAGACAAAAGCAAAATGGTTATTATTAGATGGCTCAGAGTTTTAGCTGAAAAAGGCTTCAGCGTCACAGTTACAGTATAAAGACCCTGCTTAAACAGCGTCATTAGGGAAGCACGCCGGGTGGCATTCAGCTCGTAGGCAGTTTGTGAGCTCCTCAGAATCTGTTGCACACTCTGTTTCCCCTCTGTTGTGTAAAATGTGCTAATAATTATAGGGAGCCTGAGGCTTACGTTTGCCTTTTGCAGAAAATCTGTGCAATGGGAGGGATGTGATCTGCTGCAGTCAGCTCTGTGCAACACCAGCAATTTAGGCATAGATTTGCAATTAATAGAAATAATGCATTAGAAGCAAGAATCCCTCGAAGAAATCTGTCTCGATTTGAACCTCTGAACAGCCAGAGAAAGGTGCAGAAGTATCCCAACCCTTTTACATTTTGTGATAATAGAACTACAAGCTGCAGCACATTATAGCCAGAGTTAATGTCATAAGCATCCACAAGAGAGAAATAGAAATTATGATTTCTTCTGAGCTTTACATATTTTTACCGATTAACAGAGTTGTGGCATGCTTTTATTGGTGCAAAAACGATCTAGAACTAACACATTTCTTAAATTAAGTGTATTTAGCCTATGTTGGAGCAGGTAAATAAGATAATTTGCCAATGGAATTAGTTTCTGTAGTCTTAAAATAAGACCATAAGATAATATGCACTTGAAATAAGTGCAATGTAACTGTATTTTTCTTATTTTAAATGTAAATTGTCTTGTTCCATTGGCAAAGTCCATTCAAGAAGAAATGCACTTATTTTAAGGAAAAATGACTTAAGATTTCACTTTTTGCAGTGTGACACACCACTTTAGTCTGATATCCATTTGTATAATTTTGTATCATTCATCTAACAAAATAAACAATAACAGTATTGCAGTGTGGTGCGCGAAACCATTTCCTTGATACTACCTGACCAGGCAAGAGGGTCTGTAAAGAACCACACCTTGGAGGGGAGAATAAGTTTACAGGACAGCTATTACATAAAAGGGGCTAGATGAAGGTTTTGTGGGTTATCTCATTAGCAGGGTTTTAGAAACGGAATAGAATAAAGGCCAAACATGTGGACGCAGTTCCTCGGGTCTCAGTGAACATTTTGGTTTGGGTACACAACATTATGAGGGGTAGAAAACAGCACCGTGAACGCAAACCAGTGGTGAAACATGGTGATGGCTGCATCATGCTTTTCTTCAGCAGGGACATGAATGTTCCAGCTTGATCAATCCCAGAAGAGGTCATGGCAGAGAAGTGACCAGAAACATCCCCCATTCTCCATCAGAACAAGACAAATCTTAAAGGACTTGCAATTTTGATTCATGCAAAAGGTGGTTAAAGATGGTTTATGAGAAATACTGATACATGCCAGATTTTTCAGATTTAGAGAACCGTGTAAAATGTTCCTTTTGCTTTACAATTGCATGCAACATTCTGATGGACAATAGATTATCTCATTAAAAGTAAAATAACTTAGACTCATGAAGGGTTGTGTTTACTGTATAAGAGTTTTCTAATAAAACCAGCTCCTGTCACCTCTATAGATACA